TGCCCCCAGGCCCGGGGGAAAAAAAAAAAAAAAAAAAAAGAAGAAGATTAGAGGGAGGAGGCCAACAAGTGGCATAGTAATTAGGGGTGCTGGACTCCCACATGGCCAACTGAGGTTCGAGTCCTGGACCTGGCAGCTTGCTCTCTTTCTCTTTCTCTCTCTTTCACACACTTTCCCTCTCTGGTCAAATTTAAATAAGTAAATAAAGTTAAATAAAACAATTCTTTAAAAAAAAAACTAGAGGGAGAATGGAAATGCATATACAAAAATGTTTAACTCTCCTCTGTAATTATATTGATGGTGGTAGAAACAATTGTTACTATGTTGAAACTATTACATGGTAATAATGGGGCCAGTAAATGAATAACTATGAAACTGGATAATCTATCATGTTCTGTATTCTTGAGAACCAGAACCCTTTGTATGAAAGAAACGGATACAAAAGCAGTACAGAAAATTTTCAATTTAAAATAAAAAACTGTAATTCTGAATTTGAATGAGAAGTATCAGTAGGAACTAATGATTTTTTTTATTAAGAGGTAGGTAGGGGTGTGTGTGTGTGTGTGTGTGTGTGTGAGAGAGAGAGAGAGAGAGAGAGAGAGAGAGAGGAGAGACAGAGAGGAAAAGACAGAGATACAGAGAGAGGAGATTGAGACAACTAATCCAGTAGCAATGAGCATCTCTTAGAATCAAGACTTAGATTGTGGTTTTGAAATACCTTCCACTTTAAAAAATAAAGAAGGATTTTGAAGAAATGTCTGATTTCATGTTTAAGATGAGCCTGCAACACCTTTTTCTACTAGGTAGTGAGAAAGCTATCAAGGATGATTAATATCACATCAAAGACTCTCAAAAATCACCTTGAAGAGGCCCCATCTGGTTAAAGATGAAACTATTTGAGTATCAAAAAGGATAATAAATGAAATTAATCTGAACCCATCAAATACACTTAAATACATTAATTCATAAGTTTTTATTCTGATTTGTTATTTTTCCAGTAAAATAAGGAACTGACTATCTTGAGAACTGATAAATAAAGGAACTAAATCAAGCATATGGCTTGCCTTCTCTATATAAACTGGGTACCTCTGGGTACTCAAAGGGTAGATGGGAGAAATCATCTCTTTGTAAAATTATCCAACTAATAAATGAAGAAGAAATCACAGAATGAGAACTCCACCCTTTTGCAATGTCTAAATTAATGGATCTAGATAATGAGCATGAATGGCTTCACATTTCAAACAGAGAAATGAGCAGACATTGTATGCTTCCTGTGAAAAACCACACCATGCCCTATAGTCTTGCCAAAGGGATAGAACTGAATCTGATCAAGCTCTCCATCTAGCTGCCAACTTAACGAAAAATATAAAACTGAGGGTCATGTTGAACTAAACTACAAGGACACAATCATCAAAATCAGTACTGCGAGAAACCACACACACAAATTTCAATTCTTTGAAGTTTTCCAACAGATAAATTATTAGGAAAAGAAGAAGTAGGATAGAACTAAGGACTGAAAGTGTTAAAATATTCTTTTAAGCCAAGACTAAACTATAGCACCCTAAAGGTGTCCCCAGTTAGGAATGGTGATAGACTATTAAACACATACAGACACACAGGGGTCAGCAGGTGGCATGGTGGCTAAGGCACTGGACTCCCACATGGCTGACCACAGTTCAAATCCCAGACCTGGTGGCTTGCTTTCATATATTCTGTTTCTCCCTAGTGAGTGTATGTACCCTACAGCAAATTAAAAATAATAATAAAAATAAGTAATTCTTGAAACACACACATACCCACACACACATACATAGGCCAACTGGTAGTGTGGTGGTTAAGGAGGTTGTATCCCATATGGTTGACTGCATGGTTTGAGTCCTGGATCCAATGGCTTCAAGAACATGCTGGGTGCATGTGTATACATGCCCAAAGTCCCGAAAGGAAAGAAGTGGAGAAGAAGGAATTGCAGTGTGACCATTTATCATGGGGAGTGCTTTTTCGCTTTCTCTCTCTCTCTCTCTCTAAGTGCATGCATCTTCTGGCAAACTCAAACTAAACATACACACGCACATAAGGAAATAATTACTATACAAATCAGAAGAGTAAATTACTTTCAGAGAAAGAGTTGAGACTGAGGTACATAAAAGGGCTTCTAGGGTGAAGGGGCAAAGCTCTATTCCTTGACGAAGAGTGTTCATAAAGATGTTCATTTTATAAAAATAACAATAATAATAAAATAGTAAACCATGCACTTCTTTTGTATGACTTTATCTGTTTCTCTTAAATTGACTAAATAATTGCACATATTTTTAGGGCTCTGAAGTTTTTCAGTGCAAGAATATAGGGATCAAATCAAAATAGTTATCATATCAAGCACCTGAAATATTTATCACTACTTTGTGTTGGGGGAATTTTGAGCCCTCCCTTCCAGCTATTTTGAACTATAAATTATTGTTAACTACAGCCACCCTATTGTGCTACAGAACACTGGAACTTATTTATCCTATCTATTGTAGCTGTAATGTTATATTCATTAACTAACATCTCCCTATCCATGGCTTCCCCCCCCCCACACCGGCCTTCACACCCTCTAGTAACCTCTATCCTAATCTCTCCTCATAGGAGGTCGAATTTTTTTGACTTCCTCATAAGTGAGAACTTGCAATATTTGTTTCTGTGCCTGACTTATTTTACTTAACATAATGTTCTCCACACTTGTCCATATTGCCTCAAAAGACACGATTTTTTTCTTTTTAGTAGTTGGAATAGTTTTCCATTGTGTATATATATCGCATTTTCTGTATCTCTTCATTGGCTGATAAGCTTAAGCTGACCCCATATCTTGGCTGCAATAAACATGGGAGTACAGCTATATCTTCAATACAGTGTGTTTCATTTTACAATGAAAAGATTTTAAAGACCATTTTACAATATGAAGATTAAATATGTAAAGCAAATCTAATTAACCTTCTAAATTCTCTTTTCCACATTTAATTGCTTATAAGTTTATTTTGAGGAAAAGGAAGAGGAAGAGGAAGAAGAGAAAGAGGAGGAGGAGGAGGAGAAAGAGAAAGAGGTGTCCTTGACAGGATCTCCCCCTAGATTCCCAGATACTCAGGATTACAGGAGCACAGGGGTGCCCCTTGAGTATTCAGACCAACCTGGCACCCTACTGCCTGTGCCATTATGGCTGGGCCTAGATCATTTCTTTAGACCAAGGGCATAAATAATCTTGGGATGTGTTTTCAAGAGCCTTTATAAGGTAATCAATTAAAAACGTTGATTATGTGCTATGTGCAAGGCACTCCTGCTCCACTGTCATTGGCCTGTGCCTTCAGATACTTCTCCTTTTCTTGATGTAGTTGATTAACATGCGCTGGAAGTCTTCACTGTGAATTTGAGTTTTTGTACTGGTTAGTTTTTTATCTGTGATGTTTCATTTTATGAATTGAAGTACTTAGGAAGTACTACGTGTTGAAGGAGAGGCTTATAGGACATTTCTACTCAACACAAAACCAAGCAATTTCTTCCCCTAGTCTGAGTACTGGTACCGATGCCACAGTCCAGTGGTTCCGGGGGTCTCTCTCTGCGAGTGTTGGCAGCTGGCACTCTGTTGGACACCTGCTCTGTTACTGAGCTAAATTTTGGTGAATCATCCCAGCTTTACAACCGCACTGCACATCTGGATATCTAGTTTGATGACTCGTCATCCCAGCCTTACAGCCACATTGCACATCTGGATATCTAGTTCCTAGAAATGACAGTTCAGAGAGGTTTATAATGGGTAGCAATTCCCAGAAGGAAAAAAGGGGGGAGCATTTGAGAATTTTTACCCACCTAAGATCACAAGCATCAGAAAGCAACTTACTCTTTTAAAGATGAGCCCCATTTCTAAATCTAAAACTCAGTAAGTACATCCTTTTTATACTATAAAAGCTGTAAACTGTAAAATTCCTTTGTGGGAAAAAAAATTCCTATTTCAATCAAGAATCATAAATAATAATATATGAAAAGAAGGAGGGAAAGAAGCAGGGAGGGAAGGAAAGAAGGAAAAGAGAGAGAGAGAGACAAACATTGGCCACAAGGCAGGGCTGTTTTAAGCAGATCAAATGGATTCATTCATGTAATGCTCACCACAACCCAAATAGAAATAATTCCCATTTTACTGCTAGCAGAATGGAGGAGCAGAGAGGTTAAATAACTTGCCCAAGTAGTAAGTAGCAGTTCAGGACTCAAATCACATGGTCTGGGCCAGAGCCCATGCTATTAGCCACAGGCTGCTTCACTGCCACAAACCCTTCACATCTTGGCAAGCCTCAGATGCACTAGAGTAAAGGCAATAGTGGTCTATATTTGAACACTTCCCGGCTTGTCAAATTTGTATTTTAGATAGCTCTGTCTGCAGAAAACACAGCCAGTCAATGATCAAATAGCATCCACTCAGCCTCCTTAATAGATTTTGAAGCTGTCAGCCTCTCTCCATCCCCACCGTCACTGCCTTGGTTCAAGACACCATCAGTCCTCAGCTAGATTATTGCAGTCTCCTCTAACTGATCTTCCTGCCTCTAGCCCTAACTAGAGATAAAAATGAGATGCCAAAATGGAAATATAAAAGGGTATCAGTCCAGCCAAATAGTGTATGTATACCAGCCCCAATACTTCCTAAGATCAACGGCTTGAGAGAGACACACACAGAGGGGGGAGGGGGGTAGAAGCAGTTGCCAATGCAGGTCTTTACACATCTACAGCAAGTCAAAAACAGAGCCAGTGTGAAGATACTAAATAAATTCACATACTCTCACAATGTGCAAGCTGTCTGGATCTGCCCTTGGAGCGTGTGGGCTATGGGGACAACTGTACACAGTGATTGTCGGCTCTCTTGTCTGTCTCCTCCAGCCTCCCATGGGCTTAGGTCATCTGACTGGAGAAGCTTGGCTGGCTCCAGTCACCCTGTTTCTTGTGCTGGCCTCGCTGAGATGTGCTTTAGGCAGGGCACTGGGCAGGAAGGAGACTCCTCACATGATCAAGCTTAATCCTCCTCCTCTCCCTTCCTGAAGCT